AAGTTCAGTTACACTAGAAAATAATAATTATTAAATACCTAAATCTCTCCACTTTCTGAATTAAGGATAATTTAAGTTGCTTTAAGCTAAACTTCTCTAAATTTTACATATCTACTCAACCTATTATAACCCTTTAAGCATAGCTGAAAGTTTTAGTCTATAGAAGTACTACAGGGACAACACTTGCTAAGAGACCATCTAGGGTGTCAGAAAACAATCCATTTACATCATAGAAGATTCACATTCTGTAATTGAGCCACTTTTTATTATTTTTAAATTTTATTTTATATGTATAGGTGTTCAGCCTGCATGTATGTCTGTGCATTACATGTGTGTCTGGGGTATCTTCAGAGACCAGAAAAAGGTATTAGATCCCCTAGAACTGGAATTACTGCTGTGGGATGGTCTGTGTGTCAAATGCTCTGATTGGTCAATAAATAAAACACTGACTGGCCAGTGGCCAGGCAGGAAGTATAGGTGGAACTAACAGAGAGGAGAATTGAGGGAACAAGAAGGCAGGGAGACACTGCCAGCCCCCGCCATGACAAGCAGCATGTGAAGACACCGGTAAGCCATGAGCCACATGGCAAGGTATAGATTTATGGAAATGGATTAATTTAAGCTATAAGAACAGTTAGCAAGAAGCCTGCCACGGCCATACAGTTTGTAACCAATATAAGTCTCTGTGTTTACTTGGTTGGGTCTGAGCGGCTGTGGGACTGGCGGGTGACAGAGATTTGTCCTGACTGTGGGCAAGGCAGGAAAACTCTAGCTACAAATTACAGATGGTTGTGAGCTGCCATGTGGGCACTGGGAATCAAACCTGTGTCCTCTGGAAGAGTAGCCAGTGCTCTTAACCACTGAGCCATCTCTCCAGCCCTGTGAGCCATCTCTTAAAGTACATCACTTGGAAGTCCATACACTTTGAGTAGCATGCCACCTTTACTTTCAATTTTAGAAAGTATTCAAGTATTATTAAAGAAGGAACCATTCGTTGTATACTTCATAGTTTTCCTTTTATTTTTAGTTTAGTTTTGTCTTTTTATTCTTTGACAATTTCATGTGTGTACAGAATATCTTGATCCTACCCACTCACAACTACCCTTCTCACATAACCTGCCTTCCTTTCTAAGACCTACTAGCCAATCTTCACAGTCTATTCCAAATACCACCTTCTGTAAATAATCCTACTAATGAGCTAATCGCTCCCTTCTATGAACCAGCTCCATTCTCTAGCCTTAACTGTACTGTGTATGTATCACCTTATATTGTAATCACTTACTTTCTTTCTCTCTTCTACTCAGTAATTTGCTTGGTATAGCCTGGACCCATGTCTAACTTAACTTTAATCCCAAGGATCCAGTGGTATGCCTGCTTGGCACAAAATATAGAATAACCCATGTAATGTGAATTATCTTACGTATGACTGGTAATTAGAGAACTGTCAATATATTATGTCATGAGGTACTTTCAAACAAGTTAACACTTCATATCATGTAGCAGCAAAATGTACAAACTCTATCCATCCCCCACCAGCACACCAAGCTGTGACTCTTGCCCTTCCTCGTGGTCACCTGGCCACTGCCACCTCCGCCACGCATGCCTTGCAGCTCTCACCTGTGTCGTCACTTGCCTCTCTTTCATTTTAGGCAACCTCAACCCAACTTAACATGGTAGTGCCTTTCACCAAACTGCAGTCACTGATTATTTCTAATGTACATTCTTATACCCAGTGCAGCAGTTAGTGGTTAGTAATTTTACATTTCTTTTATGAGTTCCAGTACTGTGCGGAATCAGGATACATAGCGACCTAGATTTTGAGTGGTCTATTTCACCTGCTTTTCTTCTCCATTAACTGTCATTTTAAGTTCATAACTTTGCAAAGCAAGAGTTTTTCAGGAATTCATGTGCTACAACATGACATAAATATTTGATGAAATGGATGTGGAACATGGCGTTTCCAACAGGCACGTACTTTTAGCCATTAATCCCACATTTGTTGAGTATCATGCTGAAAAGGGCCCCTGCTCTAGCCACTAGATACCTAAACACTGACAGGCTGAGAATGAATGTGTGTGTATATCGGTCACAGACACAAGTTTAACACACTCATCTCATCAATATTCAATTTACTATGTTTTTACATTCATTCTAGTATCTACTTTCAGTAGTTTTCAAAAGAACTGGTTGCTTTCTAACAGAAGTCTTAAGAAAGAAAAGAAAAACAGATCAAAGGGAACTCTTTGGGTGTGGCAGCAATGCCCAGTTCCCCCGCACGGTTTAATAACTGAGTTAAGAGACTCATCCCCATCTCTGCAAACTTTCTGGTGAAGTTATATTGCCTGAATCCTCCACACACAACTCCTTTCTCCTTCCTTCTGGGCAGCTGGGCTAGCAGGAACTTGGCAACCACTCTCTTAGGCCTTTACCCCAAGCAAGTGAGATGGAGGTCAAGCTCTCAGAAAAGAAACTTGCGTCCGCCTTGGTGCAGTGGGAAGGGGCTTGATCTCCCAAGGCTCAGTGTGCTGGGCTCTGCTGACCCCCCATGGGAGACCTCAATTTGGGGGATGTGGGGATGCGGGGTGGCTTGGGAAAGAGGGCTGGGGTGGGAGGAATGAGGAGGGGGGATCTGTGGATGGTATGTGAAGTGAGTAGAAATTTTCTTAATAAAGAAAAAAAATTTTTTTAATTAAAAAAAAAGTACCCTGGAAGCTCTCGATCCTGACTCTTAGGGGCTCTGTCTGGGTTCTTTTAAAGTACCACCCTCCACTTCTGAGACGTAGATATACAAATATATGCAGCTATATGAAGTCGCAATGCATCTTGTGCTGTTGTCACCTAAGTGCCCCAGCATAGCCTGCTGACTTCATGGTCTTGTGCCAGGTTTAAAACGCCTCCGGAATCGGTGCACAAAGGGATTTTCTTTATACTACCTTTCATGTTGTTTGTATTTTTGTGATATTCTCAATTTCTATTTAAAAAATAAACATGGTATTTTATAAAGGAGGGAGGGAGGGAGGGAGGGAGGGAGGGAGAGAGAGAGAGAGAGAGAGAGAGAGAGAGAGAGAGAGAGAGAGAGAGAAAGAAAGAAAGAAAGA